CCCCGCTCTCCCCTTCACTGAAAGACTGATCATACATAGCTCCCCCTCACAAGACCAAGGCCAGGGCAATGCTGGGCTGCTTCCTCACACTCTAATGGTTGGCCATCTCCCTCAGCACTAACTAAGAGGCTGGCACACTGGTCTTCATGTGGAAACAGCTTAGTCAGAGCTCAGCCTGACTGCTGGGTGTGTAAGGGGTATAAGCCTGACATTCAGGCCTCTGTGGGAGTGACAAAGAAAGGGATGGGGCTAGAACTGCCAACTGTGCCTCCAAGCCACCCCTGAGACACCACAAACCTAGCCAGATGTGTGAGCCAGAAGCAAGAAGCCTGAGGTCATGTGCCCACTCTACCTCTCCCCAAAATGTGACCTCAGCCCACCACTATCCTCACTCTGTGGCTCAGTCACTTTTTTGTTTTGGGGTCGGGGATGGGGCAGGGAGGCGTGGTTAAGGAGAGGGGTCTTTGATAGCCCTTCCTTCCCTTTGTAGACCCTCAAGTGTCCTTCACTGGTAAGGGGGCTTGCAGATGGGACCAACCTATCCCAGAGTATCAATCAAGGTAGGATCCTGGAAGCTCCAGACAGGAGAAACAAAGAAGCCTCAAACCCAAGCAGCCCTTGGACAACACCTCCCCTCCCCATGTTCAGGCACCTTCTCCATTCCCCAAAGCCCAACTACTCTTCCTGCAAAGTTCTCTGCCTTGAGGTCCAGTAAAGGCTTCTACAAAGTCACACTCCACAAGGCTCGGTCTTTCCATGGTGCCCAGCTCCAGGCCTCTTCACCAAAATATTACTTCTGCATTTCCCAAGCCATCTCACTACAGAGACCACCAAACATGGTGTTTAGAAGTCTAGCTCTACTGCTTTGTGGCTATGGCAAAACAGATGACCCAAGTTTCCTTATCCATAAAACAGGAACACAACAATCCCTAGCCCCATGGAATTGCTTTGTGGCATACATGAAATGAAACCTTAGTACACAGCAAGCACTCAATTATGGGAGTGATTATCACTGCTACCAGACAAATTAGACACCATTAAAAATGTAGAGTGTAGATCCACACTGCCCAATAGGATCAGACTAACCCTGTACGTTTCAAGTATTCAATAGTCATGTAACCAGTGGTGACCTTGTAGGACAGCAGATTTCTATCATCTCAGAAAATTCTACCAAATGACACCACTCTAGATAGAAGATGTCATTAAGGGCAAGGATCTGGAGCCTGACCTGCCTGAGGTTTCAAATCCCAGGTCCACCACTTCTGGCTGTGTGACCTTGGGCAAGTTAATTAAGCTCTCTGTGCCTCAGTTTCCTCATCTTTAAAATGGGCTTATCATAACACCCTTGTAGGGTTGCCATGAGGATGTACATGAGTTCATGTTTGTAAAGTGTTTAGAACAGTATCTGGCTCCTAGTAAGAGCTCAGTAAGCATATGTTAAAATCACTGTCAGGCAAGGCAGGGTGGAACTGGATCCAGGAGGAGCTCTGGGCCAGCCCACATAAAACAGAAGTGACCCATAAGTAGCAGGGTAGTAGTGAGGACAGTTGTCAACGTACTTTGTAGAGTAACTTGAAACACTTTCAGGAAAGGGGAGTGGCTGTCTCCCTCCCATCCCCCCATCCCTCTGGACTCCTGGGAAGGGTCAGGGCTCCACACCTGCCCACCTTCTCTTCCCTTACCATCTCCGTAGGCTGGCCCAGGGTCCTCAGCCCAGGTGGGTGGGAAGGGCACTGTGAGAGGTAAGCGGGGCCTGTGGGAGGTCAGATATCCACCAGGCATCCCCCCGGGCTCATGGCCAAGGGGGCTGGGGGGCCTCTCGGCGGCCGATGTGGCCAGCAGCTCCTGTAGGATATTGATGGGTGAGACGGTGAGCTCCCAGTTAGTGATTCCAAAGTCACGCAGGTGGGCCCGGGCATGGCTGGAGAGGCCAGCCCTCGTGTCAAAGCCGGCCCCGCAGAAGTCACAGCGCATCAGGCTGAAGGTGCCAGGGTCAAAGTTAGCCACTGTGGAGAGAGAGAGAGAGAGGACATGGACTGCCTGGGCGGGAAAGGGGGAATGACTCTCCAGCCCCAGTCCTCCCCTCTCCCAGGACTGCTTATCCTCTGAGGATCACACACCTGGTGCTGTTCCTCACCTACATGCCTCCCTTCCCCTTTGCCCATTATGCTCCTGCTTGCGTCAGCTCCTGAGTCCCCCCAACTCCTCCCCACTCTAAGAAGCCTTCTCTTCTGACCTCCTAGGTTTCCCCCTCAACAGCTCGCAGCATCAGGGACCCCACCCTCAAACACTTCTCCAGTTGTGGATTTGCAATCATTTGGGTGATCGATTAAGACCCTTCTTGTGTCTAGAGCTCATGTTCCCAGAGCTTCCCCCATCACAGCCCCAGTTACTCAACATTATAACTGCCTGATTTTGTGGCTGTCCACCCATGTCCCTCACCCCCAGCACACATGCACGCACACACACTCAAACACCATACCAGCACCTCCCAAAGTGGTCTCCATGTCTGCCAGCATCAGAGCCACCCAGGGTGCTCGTGTTGGAGAAAGACCTCTGGAATCAGAACCTTGGTGCCTGGGACTCTGCATACCTCACAGGCAGCCCGGGGGATTCTAAAGCCAGCCAGGCTCCCACCACTGCTGTGACCGGGCTGCGAACTCCAGGAGAACAGGGACTGCTGTTTCATTCACTGCTGTGGCCCCAGTGCTCAAAACAGAGGGGACCTCGCTCAGTAAATATTTGTCGAATGAAGAAACCAATGAAATCCCCTGCCTGGGGCTGACTCCTCTGCCTATACGCCTTCCTCCAGCTGCTGGAAGGGCCGGGACATGGGGGTATCCCCACACCTCCACCAAGGTGAGTGCCTTTGCTGCGGCTCCCAGGTCTTCCCAGAGGGGAGGCCCCAATTTCACCCAGCTTGGCACTACGGGAGGATTTAGAGTAAGGGTTGTTGGTTGGTTCAGACTCAGCTGCCCAGCTGTGTGTCTCGGGTGCCTCGGAGGGAGGTGGGTGCTGGAACGAAGCCCCCCTACCTTTTTTCTTCTTCTTCTGGAAGGAGAACCTTCGTTCGATGGCCTTCACCTCCTCAGCGGAGATGAAATGCCGAACATTGTAGCTGACGCCCACACGGTTTAGGTGGCCCCGCACATGGTTTGCCAGGCCGATGCCATTGTGGAAGCGATCGGGGCAGTAGGGGCACTTCCGTTCCTCGTACTTCAGCGCCACTGCTGGGTCCCCATCCAGGATTGTGTCCAACCCCAGTGGGCCACCCAGCGGTGCCTCCAGGAGTAGGAAGTCCAAGGGGTGGGTGCCCCCCACCCTCAGTTCCTCAGGCTGCAGACTTGGGGGAGCTCTAGCTGCTGCAGCCAGGACCTGGGACCTCAGCTTGGCCACCAGCACAACTGGCACCATCCCAAGGAGCTGCTGTTGCTGTGCTGGTGAGGCCTTGGCTGCCCGCAGGGCTTCTCGGAAAGTCTGCTTCAGCTCCAGGGCTGACTCTGGGATGAGGCCAGGGACAGCTAGGGGTGGAAAGACCCCATTTCCAGGGAAAAAGTCCATTTCTGAGGCCAGTTGTATATCCTCCTCCTCCTCTTCGCTCCAGGGGTGCCTCTGGTCCCCTAGTTGGGCTGGGAGCCCTTGCAGATGGACAGCATTTTTACTTCTACTGGGCTGCAAGGAATAGGGGGTGGATGCTAGTGGTAAGGGAAAGGCTGGCCTTCCCAGGGACCTCTGTCCCATGCTGTGTGGTAGTGACTTTGACAGTGGGAAATCCCTTGTGCCCAGCTGCTGGCAGCCTGGGCCAAAGGCCAGGCTGGGGTTGTATCCAGTAGGGTTCTCCCGCCATGTAGGGGCCAAGAACGGCTCACTGTTGCCAAAGTAGTCCTCAGCAGCTTCAGGGAAGCGGGCATACACATCCTGGCTGGTGCCAGGCTGGCTGGCAGGGTCCTCCTCAAATGCCTGGCTATCCTCCTCCCAGTGGGGACGGGCATGCACAAGCCTCACATGCTCCCTGAGCAGGCTCTCGCTGGGGGCTGGGAAGCCACAGAAAATGCAAGCATTGAGGCCCAAGGAGGCTCCATAGGGCTGATAGCCAAGGGTGGTGGCGTCAGGGCCTGGGCTGCCACCCCCAAAGGGCTCCTTGGCAGCCTGGCTCGGTGACTCGCGCATGTGCAGCTTGGCATGCTGCACAAAGGTTTTGGAGGAACTGGTGCCAAAGACGCACTTGGAGCACTGTAGCCGTGCCTCCCGGCCCTCATCACTTGGGATCCGCTTCAGCTTCTGGATTTCTTCAAGGATCTTCTCCCTGGAGGCCTGGTGTAGCTGCCGGTGCTGCTCCAGGGCACAGGGGTCAGCGAAGGCCCAGCCACACTCACCACAGGCCAGCGCGGCCACATTAGCCGGGGGCTCCTGGCCTGGGGCTCGGCGATGCTGGCTCATGTGCTCCAGAAGGTGCTCCTTCTGCTTGAAATAGATGCTGCACTCCACGCACGGGAACACAGCTGGATCCTCGTCCTCATCCTCGTCTGGGCTGGCCACCCCTTCGGCCACCTCCTGCAGCAGCTCACACAGGTAGGGACTGGTCCGGACTGGGGACAGCAGTGGCTGCAGTCGCTCTACAGATGCCTCCGAGTTCACCGTCCAGGTCTGAGTGGCCACTTCTGTGGCTGACCTAGGCAGGCACCACTCCGCAGCTGGCTGGGCCAGATCCTCCAGGTCCGTCAAGTGCTCTCTGGTGCCTACCTCAACATCCAAGGTCTTCGTGGTGTCCTCTACAGGCACCAGCACTGTCCTGAAGGAGGTGAGAGGTGGTGGTGGGGGCAGCAGGTCCAGGGGCAACCCTACATTCTGAGGTGGGGACTGCTCATCTGCATCTTGCAGCCAGTTGAACCTGGGGTGGCTCTTGGGGGACTTCTCCAAGAGCTTTGGCTCACCCTGGTGGTACAAGAACCTTCTAGAGCCCTCGAGCTCAGCGTGGGGCTTCACAGTTCTCACAATCACTGAGTCCTCGAACCTCTGCTCAGATGGGATGCCCTCCCCAGTTTCCTGGACCAGGGGGTGCTCCCAGGGTCCCCGGCCATCAGGGAGACCAGAGAAGTGTCTCAGGAGATGGGGTGGTGGGGAGCCTGGCCGGAATTCCAGGCTGCCTCCATCCCAGCAGCTGCAAGGAAGTGCCAATGGGGACAGGTTAGCCATGGACCTCAGTTTCCCTTCCTTGGGCATGGGAGAGGGGTCCTCCCAGGCAGTCTGAGACAGGCCCCAGAGACCCAACCCAAGGGTGACCTCAGAGTAGCCAGGAGTGTGAGGGTGAGGGTGGGGAGTAGGGGGAGTACATGTGGACCATTCCAGAGGCGGTGGGCCGAAAGCCAGATTCAGCTCCCGGGATGCACCTGTACATATAGCCTAGCCCTGTTGCGTTGTAGGGGAATGTGTAGAGACCACACTGGGGTCATAAAGTGTGTCCCTAAGTCTGGTGGCACAGTCAACTCTCATCTGTCCTCCAGGAAGGCCCAAGATTTTCACCCACGATCCAGACTGCTTTTGTATTAATCCTCCCCAAACTGGGGTGATTTGTTTAGTTTCACCATTCCAGCAAATTTACTGAAACTCTGTGGCATGAACTGCTCCAGGGATGTAGATCCCCCTGCCACTCCTC